TCAAAGAAGCCTTGACAGCTATTCAAAACAAATATAACCCCCCCAAACACATCTTAGATCTGACCAACCACTGCCTATCCAACACATACTTCATCTATAATGGACAAAAATACAAACAAACAGAAGGAGCACCCATGGGATCACCCCTCTCACCTGTCATTGCCAACCTCTACATGGAACACTTTGAAACTCAAGCTCTAGAAAAATCGGATCACAAACCCAAACTCTGGCTCAGATACGTAGACGACACCTTCATAATCTGGCCACATGGGAAAGAAAAACTGGACAACTTCCTCACACACCTCAACAGCCTACACCCCAAAATACAGTTCACCATGGAAACAGAACTAACAACCAACTTCCCTTCCTGGATGTCTTAGTCTACAAGAAATCCAATGGCTCCCTAGGACACACCATCTACCAGAAGAAAACACACACAAACCGCTATCTGCACGCTCTCTCACACCACCACCCAGCACAGATCAACTCTGTAGCCAAGACACTCATCTCCAGAACAAAACGCTTAGCTGACGAACAACACCTAAAACCCGAACTACACACTCTCACCAATGTACTAACATCCAATGGATTCCATAGAAATAAGATTACAAACCTAATCCAAAAAGAAACCCCCACTAAAATCCAAGACAAAGAACAAGAAAACGGCAAAGCCCTCCTCCCATACATAAAAGGCACCACAGACAGAATCAGTAAGATCCTCCATAAACACAACATCAAAACAGCATTCTGCACAAACAGAAAAATATCCACCATCCTTAGAAACCCCAAAGATAAAATTGAATTAGAAAATCAAGGAGTATACGAAATCCCATGCACCACTTGTCCCACCACATACATCGGACAAACCAACAGAAGAATAAGTGCACGCATTGAAGAACATAAGAACTCAGTCAAAAAAGAGGAACCAACATCTTCCCTGGTCCAACACCTTAAAGCCACAGGACATGAAATTGACTTTAAAAATACCAGAACCATTGCCAAAAGTGAACATTTTAATAACAGAATAATCAGAGAAGCCATCGAGATAGAAAAACGCCCACACAGCATGAACAAGCGAGATGATACCTCCCGCCTACCAGCCATTTGGAAACCCGCCCTTATTGACAAACAACTCCCTAACACAAAAAATGATACCAGACCCACACTCACAAAAACCACACAGGATGTCACCACCAAACATCCACGCAAAAAACCAACCCAAAGCCACACTGACTATGAGGCACGACCACAAACCAGAAGCCAGACCACAGCTGCATCATTAGCCACTTTAAACCCCTCCAATCCATACATGAAGCAAACTGACACCCTCCATGAAGAGGAGGCACGACCACGAACGCAAAGCCAGAAAATAGCAAGGCAGCCCAAAATCTTAAACCCCTCTGCAACTCAGACTAACCTGAGCACAACCAAACAGAACACTCCCCCAGCCAATCAGAGCACAGCCAAGCCCCTAACCATTCAGAACACACCTCCACCCAATCAGAACACAGCCAAGCTCCCACCCAATCAGTTCATACCCCCACTGGCAGTTAAAAGGAAGAAACAGCTAAGACCACACATTGCTCCTCAAAGCACGAAGCTGAAAACACCAGCCTGAAGATGACGAATGGGACTTCGTCGAAACGTCGCCAAGACACTTCCAATTTTACGCGGGAGAAAACCCGAACAACCAAAGACCTACATATATATATATATATATATATATATATATATATATATATATATATATATATATATATATACACACACACATACATACATACATACATACATACATACACATACACATATTTCTATATAAAATTATATACTAGGAAAATAAAATACCTCACTATAGGATAAAACACATACATATTAAATTTCTAGTTATCCTGCCCATGCTATAATCTCTTCCCAGTCATTTAAGTAAGAATATGCTACTACTATATGGTATAATAACAATTTTATTGTCTCTTGTTCTTTTTTTGCTCATCAATGACTTTTGTATCAATTATGTCAGAACTATGTACTTCAACTGTTTCACCCTTTCTCTCTCAAATGGGTTAGGGTTATTTGTCAATGGTTAACAGTTCCCTCTGCTAATTTATGTACTAATCATAACAAGGATATCATACGAATAATTATGACCACAGTGTGCAAAAACTTCAGACATGAAATTTTAACACTAGTGGCAGGCAAAAAGGAACAAGAGCCATTTTATTGCAACATTATTCACCTATAGTCCATGGTTCACATGACTTAGCTAGTTGAAATATCCCCTTTGTTATATTAATGCTGTGGATTGATAATGCATTATCAAAGATATATTGATCAGCCAGGCAGTGACTATATTTACAGTACTCCCAGCTTCAGCAAAGAGGTGAAAAGGTGTCACTTGTTTTCCAACTTCCTGGCATTTTTCACTATAGTGAAAATAATAATTTTAAATCCCCAGTGACAATCAGGGTTGGCACCACCAGAAGCATTACTGAAAATGGAATGAGACATACAAATGGGATGTCTAAAGTTCCTTATTTGCGTAAGGTCTTCCTAGAACTTCATCTGAATCATTTTTAAGAAATTAACCCTTTGGTTAACCCTGTGGATAACAGCCTGAGTTAGTTTTACTCCAAAGAAGCTCAGGTTTGAGACTATTACCTTAGGGCTAATAGGCTGGTTCATTTTGGTTTTTACATGTCACTCCCTCATCCATTTAAATGGGTTTTAAAAAGAAGGCCACTGAGTTTTACCAATGCAAGTGTTAGAATGGCTGGCTATTCTATCTCCAATGCATAGAAGCTTATATGCCCATTGCAGTCCTTATGTCTGAATTAATTATGTCATTGTCATCAAGTTGTGGTTGACTGAGCAATCACATACATAGATTTTCTCCATGATGGTCTGGCTCTAACCTGATCTTTCAATTCTTTTAAGAGTGCCTCATTCACCACTGTAACTGAATCCATCCACTTTGCTGCTGGTTGTCCTCTTTCTCTCACTTTTCCTAGCATTAGAGCCATCTCCAGAGATCTAGGTATAATGTATCAGAAGTAGGATAATTTGAGCCTGGTAATTTGTACTCAAGTGAGAACTCTAGGTTGATTTGTTCATTGACCCATTTGTTTGTTTTGTTTTTCTCAGGAGTCTTCCAAAACCAAAATTCAAAAGCATCGGTAGTATTCCTCTCCCGCTTCTTCATTATCCACTATTTGCAATATGTTATAAAACAGCTTTCTAAGACACACTTGTAGTTATTCTGATGCTGTCCAAAAGACAGTCTGTTGCTACAGATTGCAGGAGAATATCATCCATATTCTGTCAGCCCGATTATTTCAGCTGGTGGGATCCAGGAGGAGGGCCTTCTCTGCTGTTGCTCTTGCCCTCTGAAACATTTTGCCCTCCAATGTGAGGTTGGCCCCAACCCTCCTATCTTTTCTTAAGAGCCTAAAGGTGTGGCTGTGTCAGTCAGCTTGGGACCCCAGTGGGGGAAAGGCGCAATGGAGATGGTTGATTAATAACAGATCCCACATCCCCCCTCACTCCAGCCCCACCCTCCCCACGTGTCTTTGGTTTTAATATTTGATTTTAACTTTTATATTTTAACTTAGATGTAACTGTAAGCCACCCAGTTAGATGGGCAGCCAATAAATACATAAATAAATATTATTAGAAAGACCTCTAACCCAGGGGTCCCCAACCCTGGTCTGTGGACCGGCACCGGTCCGCAGCATGGCAGCAAGCAGGCTGCACAAACAAGCAAAGCTCCATCCTCAAGGTGCAAGCGGTATTGAAAACTACATCTCCTCTGGTCCACGGAAAAAAACCTTTCTCCATGCATCGGTCCCTGGTGCCCAAAAGGTTGGAGACCTCTGCTCTAACCAACAGGGCTCATCAAAACTCTAGAAATGGATAGCCTCTACCCAGCATCATTTGCAATATACAAAAAGCCCATATAACCTTGATTTACAATCATATTAGCATATGGATCCAGAGGATAATCTTAATTTGCCAAAAAGTACACATTCTAAATCATCCATAAATCTGCCTCCAGTCTTGTAAACAAAGATGCTTGAGTATACCTACCTAACATGAGCCATTTTTTATTCAGCCTACCTCAAAATGGAATTCTGACAATGTGCTTTTTTCCTATGGGATATGCTGGAGATCCACCTAAAACTCCAAAGGTACAAAAGCGTAGCAGTTAAAAATGCTACTAATGCAAGTTAAACTATGACTACATGTTGCATTTATTGCCACAAAAACCGGGAGAAATGACAAATAATTAAAATAAATCAAACAACGGGAGCAAAAGTTTATTGTGCCTCTTTTACAAATTCTTCAGGGGTTCTGTCCCCCTCCCAACATACCCAGCAAATCCTCCGCAAAAGAACAAAAGTATAACTTTTCGTACACGCGTTAGGTAGACAGTAGATCTGAATAATAATAATAATAAAACCACAACTCCCGATATGCATTTCTTTAGCATACGCAATAAATTCAAGTTACGCACCCGTGATGTACTCTGGGATACATCCGGGAATTTGCAAAGAATTTTTTACAATGTACAATATCCTTCCGCTAAGCCTAGAAAATATATAGTCCCATTCAAATATACATAGTCCCATTCATAAACGTCCCAGAGTTACACCAACAAATCTTTCTTTCTTTCTTTCTTTCTTTCTTTCTTTCTTTCTTTCTTTCTTTCTTTTTCTTTCCCGTTAGGACACCCTTTACTATGTCGTATTATCCTCACTCCTTAAACCTTCTGAGAGAATCAAAGAGTTTTGATGGCAGGAGGAAGTACGGCCAAAGTGCTTCCGCTTCGCGGAGGAAAGCAATATAAAAAACTCAAGGAAAAAGCCGGATCCTCTTTCGCCTCCTCACCGTCAAAATGGTGGGTACCGCGCGCGCGAGGTGGCGGGCCGCTAGTTGGAAACCCGTCAGACAAAAACCAGCTCCGGGGAACGAGAGGGCGGAATTTGAGACCTCAGTGAACTCACCTGGGAGAGGGGAGGGAGGTGGTTGTTCTGTTGAATCTCGGCCCACAATATACGCGTCCCATTCGAGCAAGCATGGTGGAAAGCTAGACCTGTGGCCAGAATCGCCCTTCTTTGGGACTCATGGCAGAATCACCCACCCACCCCCGCCCGCCATCTCGGTGGTAAAGTCCCCCTAGTCTCGAGGAATTCGCGGGACGTCGCTAACGTTCTTAGCTCGCGTTCTTACACCGAGGGGGGACGGAAGAGCTCGGCCTCTCCCGATCCGGTGGCCCCCTCGTGTGCTGGGCTGCGATGTTGCTAGTTGGGAATGATAATGGGTTCGCACTCGGAAACTTCTGGAGGGACCCCCGGTTAAGGGAGACCATTCCAGTAGGGCGGGCCGGACTTAAAGGGCGCCTAAGCTGGGTTAGGACTTGGATAGCACACGTTCTCTCCCTCCCCACCCCCAAATTCTGGCTTCTCTGGGGGGGGGGGAATCCCAGTGAAGAAATATTTAGTGAAAGTACTTTATACAAACAGGATTTACTGTGAAGTGTGTATGTATGTATGTATATGTGTGTGTGTGTATATACACACACACACACACAAACTGAACAGTAAATATATATATATATATTCCAGAATATATATATATATTCCAGAAAAGGCTAGGCCACCCCAGGAAAATATGAATATATAAATATATATTCATATTCCCCTGGGATGGCCTAGCCCTTTTCTGGAAGGCACATGCCACAGGCACCTTACTCTAATTTAGAAAACGTTGGATTATTTGATTATTAATAGAATTTTATTTTTAAAAGTCATGTGTAAGAGGCAATTGTTGAGACTGTTTTGCTGGGGAGGATGTTAAGAAATCTAAGATGTGTAGAGTTAAGAATAAATGTCCATCTTTTCCAGTTTGTGGGTTTAAATACTGGCTTCTTGGGATCTATTGTATTTATAATAATAGATCCCAAGAAGCCAATGTTTAAACAATCAAACTGGAAAAGATGGACATCTTTGCTTATCCCTTATACACTTGTGTGCAGTTGCTGCTGTTTACATTTGACTTTTTTTTAACGTTTGGGAAAAAAAGGTAGTAATGGTTCTGTTTGTATGTGTACACACATGCAGAAAGAATATTGGCGAATATATAAATTGTAAATATAAATCTGTGTGGTCAGTCTTTGGAAGTTTTGAAGGTATCAAGGTGCAAAATGTACCTTTGAGTGAAAAGTGCTAAGGAGATAGTGACAGAACAGCAATGCTACCTGGTTATCAAAGCAGGTACTGTCTGTAACAATACTGTTTGCTCTTAGAAAAAGATATTTTCTAGCTTAGTTCTAGAATTATCTGAGCTACCACAACATGTTCTCACATTGTATCACTTTGCATTGCATAATGTGTCAGTTATTAACATTCTGTTATACATTTTGTTCCTTTAAACAGACAAGGAAGAGAAGAAACAATGGCCGCGCCAAGAAGGGCCGAGGACATGTCCAGCCTATACGCTGTACCAACTGTGCCCGTTGTGTCCCCAAGGATAAAGCTATTAAGAAGTTTGTCATTCGAAATATTGTAGAAGCAGCTGCAGTCCGAGATATTTCTGAAGCGAGTGTCTTTGATTGTAAGCGCTTCCTCTTGCTATGCTTTGGTTTTAATTGCCAATGTAAAGTTGAGATTAGAAAATTAAAGGATTAGGAGAAGACATTACAATGAACAATCATATGTTTCTTTGTATTTGAGATACAAAGATGATTAAAGTTATCTATCTCACTACTATGGTGTTCATTGTAAATATTCTATATTCTCTGTCTGACACGAAGCTTTTGAATTAAAAATCTTAATCCTGTTTGATAGCTCATCCAAATTTTTTGTATTTGTAGCATTGTAATTTTGACTAATTCACGATCCATTAAAAGAAAAGATAGGAAAGAATCAAAAGTAGAACTCAGATGAGAGAACTCTTAAATTTCAACTGGAGTTTGATGGGAAAGTTTTCTTTTGCCATCAAAAATAATCACTCCATTTATTTTAGTGTAATATTTTTTTTTAACCAAGAGTTTCTTGTGGGACTTTGCTTTAAAATGAATAATTTTTAAGGGGAGAGAAAATTAAGTTGTATTGCTGGAAATATCTTGTTCATAATTGTTCATTATGTCTTATTTGGTAAAATAATGTTGGAGCTTGTTTTTCTTTCTCATTTTTAGATTCCATAATTTATTATTTCATGGTAATGAATGGAACCCTGGGGCAGATTATGACGTAGACTTTCAGGGGGAATCATGAGATCTGGCTGTTTTGTCTAAATCTAGGCATCTTGGACCATTGTAGCCTTTTCTAGTTATCTTTTGCTTTCTCCTCAGCCTATGTGCTACCCAAACTCTATGTGAAGCTTCACTATTGTGTTAGCTGTGCTATCCACAGCAAGGTGGTGAGGAACCGATCCCGTGAGGCCCGGAAGGACCGCACTCCTCCTCCCCGGTTCAGGCCAGCAGTAAGTGTATAATCAACTGCAAATTATTGTATTATCAACAACAAAATTAACCTAGTTGGTGGAGTACAAGTATCATGCCGTTTTTGCATGATTGTACAGGCAATCCTCAACTTCACAACCATAGTTGGAATCACAATTTTGGTCACTAAGCAGTGTGCTTGCTAAGTGACTCAATATGTGACCGAACTTGATTTTATGACCATTTTTGCCATGGTGGTTGGGCGATTCCATCTTCCCCAATTATCAAAAACTGGGTAGGGAGGCCACAAATCGCAATCACATGGCTGCAGGATGCTGCAGCTGATCATAAATGTAAGCTGGTTGCCAAGTGCCTAAATTGCAGTCACACAGGTCGTACATGTAAGGGCAGGATGGAAATAACTTTTTCCAAGGCTGTGTAACTTTGAACCATTGTTACAATTGTAAATTGAGGGCTGCCTGTATAAGCCAAGGGTGTATAAGGAATACTTTAACAGTTGGTGACAGGGACTACTTTAGAAAAAGATTTTGGGAGGTTCAGCAATGGAATGGTGCCCTGAACATCTGCATATAGCAGCATGCAGCCCTGGCTGCACTCTTTATGTTCCTCACACAAGCAGATGTGCTAAGGATTTTCCTTTCTATATTCACATGATATACTACACATCATGAAGATTGTTTGATTTTATCTTAGAATGAAATAATCCTGATAGTTTTAGTTTATTGTGCTGTCTGTTATTGGCATGGAAAAAGCCTAGATGAAATATATTTCTAAAAGCTAATAATTATCCACAGCTTTTTAATTTAATAGGAAGTGAAAGATTATAAATAAAAGGACTGCATATTATCAATGAACTGTTGAGCCAGTTAGCATTCTGGCAGGGGCCACAACTATTCTTTGTTGTACAAGGCAGCTATATTTTAAATCTCTGTTGAGATAAAAATTAGATTAACGTGTTATGTTTATCATTAGTAATAAAGTTAGATGAATGTCTTCTAAAATATTTCTTTTTTTCTCCTCCAGGGTGCTGCACCAAGACCACCCCCTAAGCCTATGTAAGGAGATGTTTTAAAAGATGTCAATGCCAAATACTGAGTCAATAAATACATTTTACAAGTGATGATTATTTGTGTTAACCCGAGTGTTTTTAAAGGAGTGGGTCTTAAAAAATGGTAGGGGAACAAGATTAATAAATACCTTTTAAATATGCTCCAAATAACTTTAAAAAATAACTTGAGTGATGCAAGTAGCCTTGAAAACAATTATTTTGCTTAGCTCATAGAAACAACCTAGTATTGTTTCATGAAGCAGCTTTGAGAGAGCTCTCTCAAGCTTTTATCAAAAGTTGATAGCAACTCTTTTTCTTTATGGGGGTTCTTCCCATACCCATCCTCCTCTTGCATACTATCAAGTAAAAAAGACTCAGTGGCTTGCAAGTATTTTATCCAATAAGATGTGTCTAGCGTGCCATTCCAAAGGCTATAGAATAGCTATTACAGCTTTTAATCATTGCCTTCCAGCAATTTGAAAGGTGAACAGCTAGCAGTTATGAATCAAAAGATTTTAATGCAAACCAAACATTTTTCTGGATTTTTTTTTCTTCTCATGGAAATGTGTTTGAAACACTTGAGTCTGTAAGAATACAACTTACAGCATATATAAATTAATTTTTGAAAAGGACTCTATGTATAAGACATTCTGAGTTTTTTGTTCCCAATTTATCTTGTGCCAGCCAACTTGGATGATTCCTTATGTGAGTGGCTGCTGTTGTGTTTTGTTGGCAGAGAAGCTTGTTTATCCATTTGGCAGGAGATGGATTTATGGATAAAAACTCATAGTACTCTTACTTGGTAATACTGAAGTTGGTCAGCATGCACAGATTTTTCACCCCCTCCCCCAATTATGTTAGAAAGACCTATGAGTTATAGACTAGTAATTTTCATCATTCTCAACTGAATCATACTACTGTGTCTGCCTTCCTCCTTAGGGCAGTATTAACTTATGTACTCTTGGAGATATGTACCCATGTTTTTCTATTAACAAATTCTCTCCAGCTAGTATTAGCTTTGAAAAACTAAAGTTGAATGTAAAAACTTAATACAATCAGAAAAATAAGACTTGTGGCTATCAATGGAAAAGATACCTTTCATTAAGAGCTTAATTTTGGCATTTGAGATGAGAAAATGAAAGTTTGTTTGAATCAAAATTCTTTGTCCAGTAATTAATATCGTTTTGAAAAAGCTTCAACTGCTTACTTGTATACATGTAGCTGAAATAAATTCTTTGTTTTGGCCTATGCTTATAATTAAAAAAACAAGGGAAGAAAAAGTAAATTAGTTCTTAGTTCAAATGCTGTTTGTTTTAGTCATAATTACTATTCAAAGGCATCAGCAGGTGGTAGACCTGGCTTGTCTAATTTAGAAGCTAAGTTGGGTCAGATCAAGTTAATTCTTGATTAGGAGAGTGCCAAGTACAGGCAGGATTCCACGAGGCAGAGGAACTAGAGATCAAATTGCCAACATACACTGGATCATGGAGAAAGCTAGAGAGTTCCAGAAAAACATCTACTTCTGATTCATTGACTATGCTAAAGCCTTTGATTGTGTGGATCACAACAAATTGTGGCAAGTTCTTAAAGAGATGAGAGTACCAGACCATCTTATTTGTCTCTTGAGAAACCTATGTGTGGGTTAAGAAGCAACAGTGAGAACCGAACACGGAACCACTGATTGGTTCAAAATTGGGAAAGGAGTCCGGCAAGGCTGTATACTGTCGCCCTGCCTATTTAACTTATATGCAGAGCACATCATGAGAAAGGCAGGGCTAGATGAATCAAAAGTTGGAATTAAAATTGCTGGAGAAATATCAACAACGTAAGATATGCAGATGATACAAATGGGAGAAAGTGAAGAACTAAAGAGCCTCTTGATGCGGGTGAAGAAGGAGAATGCAAAAGTTGGCTTGAAACTCAACATTAAGAAAACCAAGATCATGGCATCCGGCCCTCTCAATTCCTGGCAAATAGATGGGGAAGAATGGAGGTAGTGACAGATTTTATTTTCCTGGGCTCCAAGATCACCGCAGATGGAGACTGCAGCCAAGAAATTAAAAGATGCTCCTGGGGAGGAAAGCTATGGCAAATCTGGACAGCATACTAAAAAGCAGAGACATCACCCTGCCAATAAAAGTGTGTATAGTCAAGGCCATGGTTTTCCCAGTTGCAATGTATGGCTGTGAAAGTTGGTCCATAAGAAAGGTTGAGCGCCAAAGAACTGAGGCCTTTGAACTTTGGTGCTGGAGAATACTCCTGCGAGTCCCCTGGACTGCAAGGCGATCAAACCGGTCAGTCCTAGAGAAGATCAACCCTGACTGCTCTTTAGAAGGCCAGGTCCAGAAGTTGAAACTCAAATACTTTGGCCACCTAATGAGAAGGAAGGACTCACTGGAGAAGGGCCTAATGCTGGGAAAGATTGAGGGCAATAGAAGAAGGGGATGACAGAGAATGAGGTGGCTGGATGGAGTCACTGAAGCAGGTGTGAGCTTAAATGGACTCCAGAAGATGGTAGAGGACAGGAAGGCCTGGAGGAACATTGTCCATGGGGTCACGATGGGTTGGACACGACTTCGCAACTAACAACAACAACAAAGGAATCAAACTGGTTGTAGTCTACAGTGGAAAATTAAAAAGTTCTTGTTAATGCAACCCATTTATATTGGCAAGAAAATTGCTTCTTTATTACATCTTTGATTTAGCTAAGATATTCTGTTTAGATCCTTGGGATTCTAAGACTTCACAGTTATTAGTCATAATAATGCATCTTTTTAAAAGTGCAAAAGAAGCAGTTGCGGGCTTCTAATCTCTAGAACAGGTGGAGAACTATGGCCCCTTTATAATTCTGGGAGTTGAACTCCACAAGTCATAAAAGGGCCATAATTTCCCACCCCTGCTCTAGAAGAACAGCTG